TGCCTTTCATAGGGAAAAGTTACTAAAGACTACAATGTAATACAATAAAAGTAAACAAGTAAATCCATTCTACAAGCATAACATACTGAAGTTCTCTGTTCTTCGCTTAAGAGCAAAAAGCACAGGGGCCAGATGTTGAAAATTTAATGAATAGAAAATCAAAAGATATAACTAATATACAAAGGCATAGTGAATAGGAAACTACAGTAATATATGAGTTTAAGGTTTTCAATTCAGATCAGCTATTGAAACAATCTTTTTAAGGTTGTCAAGTTGACTATGTGGTCTAAAGTGTGAGAACAAACCATGCTAGGCGCTGTTGCAATCATGAGGTCGTGAGTTCAAAGATCTGTGAGCTCCTTGTGATTATTCATTTATCTCTTAAGTGTATATGATAAGAGTACAACACATTTGTTATAGTCATCATAATAAAAAACACTAGTATGTACTAGATGTATGATATTGACATCTACATACAATGAAGACAGATAATGTACAGAGACAGCTAGTAGACTGAGATACTGCCAATAGAATATTTTGAACAAACATTTGATTTATATTTTTGTCGGATTCATAAACCATATGTTTTTCATTTGTGACCTTTATTACAGTAATTTGAATAGGATGACATGATCTGAAAAGGATTAGATAAGAGAAAGGATTTTTTGAACTTCGTCAAATTCACATGCATCTCAATAGACCAAAAAGGTTAGGTTGTTCTATTTATAAGGCTAGTATCAGTATTGCAGTTTGTTTAAAGCTAAATTTTTTCTAAATATAAAGCATTTGATGCCAACTTTTGGTTTTCTTTAGCAATAACCAATATTCATCAACTAAATGTCTAACACCTTGGCAAAACATATAGTGCAGTCAGTTATGACAATAAAACCCTTGAATTGCACTTGCTATATATACGGCACCATTTTTTGACCAAAGTATCATTATTACATATATTTATGAAATCCACCGAAGTGGTGTCAAAAAGTGGCCCCAGTGGATGATAACAGGCTTCGAGAATTTTGCATGTTTCCATTGAGCCCCATGTTAATTCATCAATCTTCAAACTACCCCCTGCAGAACAGTTCAAGAGCAATAAAGTCAATCTTCCTAGTATGTAACCATGACTCAAATGTCTTCAAAATAAGAAGGGTTACAAGCGAGATTTTGTTTAGTTCAAAAGATATTTGTGTTTGAATTTTTGAAAATTCCCATTGACTGCCATTATAAACTTCTCTCAATATGGCTTTACTAAAGGGTCATTTTCTCCAAAAGTCCACTATGGAATTTTCTGATGTTGCAGATTTCTACAGCCAATATATTGACTTTCAAAAAACCAAACAGGCACATTTCTAAAAATTTATTATTTTTAATACATCTAGTTATTAAGTTGCTCACAAAAACTCCATTGAGTCCCATGTTAATTTATCAATCTTCAAAAGACCCCCTGCAGAACAGTTCAAGAGCAATAAAGTCAATCTTACTAGTATGTATTCATAACTTGAATGTCTTCAAAATAAGAAGGGTTACAAGTTGGATTTTATCTAGTTCAAAAGATATTGACGATTGAATTTTGGGAAATCCCCATTGACCGCCATTATAAACTACTATCAATATGACTTTACCAAAGTGTCATTTTCTCCAAAAGTTCACTATGGGATTTTCTGATATTGCAGATTTCTATAGCCAATATATTGACTTTTATATACTCAAACTGGCACATTTCTAAAATTTTTGATTTTCAATATATCTAGACATTAAGTTGCACATGAAAACTCCCATTGGCTGCCATTATAAACCACAGTCAACATGGCGTTACTAATAAAGTGCCATTTTCTCTTAAAGTCCACTATGGAATTTTCTGATATTGCAGATTTCTATAGTTGATATATTTACTTTCTAAAAACCAAACAGGCACATTCCTAAAAATTTCTTGTTCATAATATATTTAGCCATAAGTGACATACAAAAATCCTCATTGGCTGCCATTATAAACTGATATCAATATGCTTTTACTACAGTGTCCTTTCCTCAAAGAGTCCAATATGAATTTCTCTGATATTGCAGATTTCCTATTTCTATGAATCAGAAAATTTCATAGTGAACTTTTGGAGAAAAATACACTTTATTCGTAAATCCATGTTTATAGCAGTTTATAATGGCAGCCAATGGGGATTTTCGGTCAACTTAAGGGCTAAATATGTTAAGAATAAGAAAGATTTAGAATTGTGCCTGTTACACACCCGGTGATCGTGAAATTGGGACGGAGGGGGGGTAGCAAGCAATTTCTTGTAGAAAAATGAACAAATCTGCAAAAATTATTTTTTCAAGAAAAGGTTTATGATTTAATTGCTAAACAGATAGGCGCACGGTATGGTAAAATATGTCACGTATTCTACGAATTTTTTTAGCCGATTCTCTTCTTACGTATAAGATCTATTAAAAAAGGCGCAACGCCACCAACGTGCAAAAGTCAATGTTTTTGCTTTAAATCAAGCATCAACGGTCTACACAACCTGCAATAAATATTTGTAAGTGACATTATCATCATAAAATTAATGACCTTAATGAGTTTACAAAATATGTTTCCATACGTTGTATAAAAAATAATCGAAAATAATTAAAATGGGACGGAGGGGGGAGGGGACGGAGGGGGGGAGCAATATGTCTATAAGATATGATATGAGATGTTACTTGATACTTTATATCCAGATTTTCCCATTATCTCCTCAATTACAAAGGGTCAGGAATTGATAACATGTTGTACTTGTTAGGTATAGTTAGAGGGGTCAAATTAAGGTTGGCAAAATATTCCAGGAGACTGTTTATCTATAAATGTTTACCTGTCTTAACGTTTTTACTTGCTGATTTGTAGGCATATCATACACAGCACATCACACTTTGGACATGTAAGTTTCAGCGAAAATGTAATGTTGCATATGGTCAAATATTACAATAAATACATATATTGCACTAAATGGGAATTGCACATGCATATGGTCGAAGACAAGTGTTACAATAAATACATATATTGCACTAAATGTGAATTGCAAAATGCATATGGTCGAGGACAAATGTTACAATAAATACATATATTGCATTAAATGTGAGATGCATATTGCATAATAAATACATATGTTACACTTAATGTGAGAAAATATATGCAAAGTACAGTACAGTATTTGGCGTAATAGGTGATGTGCCCATGGTATGATTGGGTACACTAATTGGGAAACTTCCTGGCAGATTATTTAGTCTAAATTCTACATCTGCTGAAGACCAACATAATCAAAAATATTAACATATACTAGATATCTGGTAGCGAGGTTAATAATGAAACAACTTTAGTAACTGCTTACTCGAAAACTTGCATGTCCAAATAGAAATATGATGCGATGTCTACATTTTTATGATAAGTATAAAATAAAAACTATTATACACATAAAAAGATAAACACTCTCCTCCAAAATTTTGATAATCCTAAATAAATCTAACTACGAATACAACTTGTTATCAATTCCTAACCCATTGTAATTGAGGAGAAAATGGGAAAATTTGGATATAAAGTGAAGTAACATCTCTCATCATGTCGTATAGACATTTTGCTCCCCCTCCGTCCCCTCCCCCCCTTCCGTCCCATTTTAATTATTTTCGATTATTTTTTATACAACGTATGGAAACGTATTTTGTAAAGTCATTAAGGTCATTAATGTTATGATGATAATGTCACTTACAAATATTTATTGCAGGTTGTGTAGACCGTTGATGCTTGATTTAAAGCAAAAACATTGACTTTTGCACGTTGGTGGCGTTGCGCCTTTTTTAATAGATCTTATACCTAAGAAGAGAATCGGCTAAAAAAAATTCGTAGAATACGTGACATATTTTACCATACCGTGCGCCTATTCGTTTAGCAATTAAATCATAAACCTTTTCTTGAAAAAATAAATTTTGCAGATTTGTTCATTTTTCTACCAGAAATTGCTTGCTCCCCCCTCCATCCCATTTTCACGATCACCGGGTGTGTGTTTAGTTTTTTAAAAGTCAATATATTGGCTATAGAAATCTGCAATATCAAGTAATTCCATAGTGGAATTTTGGAAAAATGGCAGTCAATGGGAATTTTCCAAAATTCAAACACAAATATCTTTTGAACTAGATAAAATCTAACTTGCAACCCTTCTTATTTTGAAGACATGCAAGATATATATACATACCAGGAAGGTTGACTTTATTGCTCTTGAACTGTTCTGCAGGGGGTCTTTTGAATATTGATAAATTATCATGGGATTCAATGGAGTTTTCATGGGCAACTTAATAATAACTAGATATATTAAAAATAAGAATTTTTTAAAAATGTGCCTGTTTTGATTTTGGAAAGTCATTATGTTGGGTATAGAAATCTGCAATATCAGAAAATTCCATAGTGAACTTTTGGAGAAAATGGCACTTGATTAGCAAAGCCATGTTGATAGCTTTAAGAATGGCAGCCAATGGGAGTTTTCGTAAGCAACTCAATGGTTAGATATATAAAAAATTATGAATTTTAAGAAATGTGCCTGTTTTGTTTTTTAAAATTCAATACATTGGCTATAGAAATCTGCAATATCAAGTAATTCCATAGTGGAATTTTGGAAAAATGGCAGTCAATGGGAATTTTCCAAAATTCAAACACAAATATCTTTGGAACTAGACAAAATCCAGCTTGAAACCCTTCTTATTTTGAAGACATATAAGTCACGGTTACATACAAGGAAGATTGACTTTATTGTTCTTGAACTCCTCTGCAGGGGGTCGTTTGAAGATTAATAAATTAACATTGAACTCAATGGAAACATGCAAAATTTTCGAGCCCTGTTATTATCCACTGGGGCTACTTTTTAACACCACTTCGGTACATATCAAAAAAAAGATGTATTAATGATACTTTGGTTAAAAAATGGTGACTTATATACAGCAAGTGCAATTAAAGTGCTAACTGACTGCACTAATAGCACTTAAAAGTTCTTTAAATTCACAAGCTTTGATGCTTTTTCTATAGATTGATCAAGTGATTTGCTATTGGAAAGTTTGCAGACAAGATGCTTAATGAGTTACTTCTAGCCAGTGCAGTGGTGTTTTTAACATATCACATATACAAGTACATGGTCAGGAAAACCATACACCTTCCAGGACCCAGAGGCTTACCAATCATTGGAAACATCCATAGCTTTATTCAAGATGGAGGCCCAGTTTGGCAAGTTCAAATATGGGCAAAAGAATATGGTGATGCATTCAAAATAAGCATTCTTGGTGAAGAAATTGTCATACTGAGTGATTATGATAGTATCTATGAGGCACTGGTAGAAAGATCAAATGATTTTGCTGGAAGGCCTTTCGAAAAATCATATGCATTGAAAAAATTGTTATCTCATGGCATATTCATACAGGATTTTACTCAAAGGTTTGAAGCAAACAAGAAACTAGGATTACGTGGACTCAAACAGCATGGGGATGGAATCAGTAGAATTGTGAACCTCTCAAATGAAAACATAAGCCAGACAGTGAAGGAGTTTAAAGAAGAAAATGGTCAACCTTTCCAATCTCATGACAAACTTCAAAATCTGTTATGTCGGATCATTATATGTGTGGTAGGTATAACTTAATGAATCTAAATTGTCAGTTGAACAAGATTTTATATCAAAAGAATCATAATAAGACAAAATACAGGGTGGTCCAAAAAAGTGAACCCCTGCAACGGGCCATATTTCCCTTATTACTTGCAGGAATTCCTTCATATTTTCACATGTTGTAGAAAAGGTCTAAAATTTATGTTGGTACCACACATTTTTCTTAGTCTTGAAATTTGCATAAATTATAAGCCCTAACCAAACATTACTGAAAATGGATAAAATGTGATTTTCAATATCCGCGATTCTTCAACCCTTCAACACCCTTCCCCTGACATTTTTTAAGCTGCAGTGTTAAAGAACTAATATTTTCTGCCTTTGTTCAATTTTAAATCCTGCACATTATGGATTAAAACTAGCATCCTACCTTTGTTAGTTACAAAGTTATTGTGATCCAAAGAAATGTTCTAAGCTTCCATAGACGAAAAATATTTCACTGGATATACCCCTATATGATCTTGGAATGTCAATATCTTCATAAATCATGGACCAATTCTAATGAAATATGACTCAAAACATTGAATATTGGATTTTTTTTTGATATTTTAAAGCTTATTGATGAAAGGTTTCTCAGATACCCAGTCAAAAGGGGCAACTTCCTTCCACAAGAGCCCCCCTCTAACTGTTTGTGTAAGTAACATACGCCTCAGCTGTTGAATGGTTAAAACTGCTTCAAAATGATCAATGAACGTGTGAAATGTGTTTTTTGCTTAAAAGTGTCCCTTTTGTCATATGGTAGGGTATTAAGCTTGTATCTCTAACTGAAAGCTGTTGAAAGATCATCCAATGTCTTTCAACTATTTCCATGAATCACATTGGTAAAATTTTGCACAATATCTTATTTTCAGGCATGTTTGTTAACTCTTGTTATTTCTTCAAAATTTAAGACTGCGAATAAATTATGGCATCAACCAAAATTGTAGACCCTTCTCTACAACATGTGATAATTTGAGCCCATTCATGAAACTATTAAGGAAAATATAGCCTGTTGCAGGGGTCCACTTTTTTTGGACCACCCTGTAATTTGCAGATGGAAATATATTCCAAAGGGAAACTATTTTTCATTATTTCTTCAAAATGAGGCAGTCATTCATAATATATACATTCATATACTACTACACAAGACTGTAAAACTTGTCAAATTCAAATGCCATCGGGACCAGCTAAAAGAGTTAGGATAAGGAGGTTTCCACATTTCCAGGCTTAAGCATTCATAATATTCTGCATTTTGATGAAATGTGAACAAATTCTCAATAAATCTTTATGGTACTATATTGACCACATGGTATTCCAATAATTTGAAATAATTATGATTCAAATGAATTCATTAAACATGTTAAAAAGACATTATGAGTGAGACCATTCAACTGTTCAATGTTTTTCCAAATCTTTGGATATAAAAACCAGAACAACGGCAATGCCAAAGCGTAGCGAATCCCAACAAACAGAAATGGCTGGCATTTTTACAAACGAAATATATAGCAAATATCATGAAATAACACACATAAGAAAGGCCACCATTTTCAAAATGGTTGCTCACTAGCCAAGTTGTCATCAGAAGAAGTAATATGCTTTTTTTAGTATTCACATACCAAATATGCACAAAATCACTTCACTATTTTTCAAGTAAAATACTTCAAAATGGTGGCCGCCTTCTACCAAAAGTGTCATTAGACAGTGTGCCGTGCTTATAGATATTCACATACCAAATATGAACAAAACCGCTCCACCACTTTTCAAGTTACAGTAAAATATGTTAAAATGGTGGCCATTTTTTAAAATGGCCACCTTCTACCAAAAGTGTTATTAGACAGTGTGCCATGCTTATATTTTTCACATACCAAATATGAACAAAATCGCTCCACTACTTTTTGAGTTATAGTAAAATATGTTAAAATGGCGGCCATTTTTCAAAATGGCCGCCTTCTACCAAAAGTGTCATTAGACAGTGTGCCATGCTTATGGTATTCACAAACCAAATATGAACAAAATCGCTCCACTACTTTTTGAGTTACAGCAAAAATTGTAAAATAACGAGTAAAGGCCGCCATTTTTCAAGATGGCTTCCATGCGCTTCTTTAATATCTACATTTCTAGCTTTATCAATGTCCTATATCATTATTTTACATTTAAAACATAATGCTATTACAGTTTTACATATTGCAACTAAATTACTGTAAAATCCGCACTAAAATGGCCGCCATTTTTAAATGAGCGGCCATTTTGAAAATCGGCTGTCGAGCAGAATTTCTACCCACATAGGGTATATGTGTACAAAATATGAACAAAATCGGGCCAACGGTATTTGAGTAATTGCCCGGACGGACGGACAGCAGACAGACGGACGGACGTACGTACGTACGTACGTACGGACGGACGGACGGAGGCGTTCCCTATATCCCTCCGAACTTCGTTCGAATGGGATAATAAAACATTTGATGTTGAATCCATGGTTCATTAGTTGAAGCTTTTCATTACCAATTTCAAATATATCTGAACTTTTCTTTGTGCCTTCACTTCATCATGGAGAAATCTATGATATTGAATAAGCTGAATTGGAGGAAAAAAGACAGGGTGATAGGCTAGGCCTAGGTATGTACATTAACCTCTTGACTACCTGGAGTGAAGAGATATCTTGTCACCTCAGAAATTACCTTGAAACCAAGGGTGACGGTCAAATCTGTCACAAAATTTTTCACTAAAATTGCTCTTATAACAATTTCCATCCAATTTAAACAAAACTTGTTTTAGAATTTGTAGAAATGATCTCCGCCATCTGATTTTACTAAGTTGAGCATCTAAAGTTGTATATGAATGTAGTTAAATATCAAAAAGTGGCAAAAATGAAAAATTATCTGGTTTCAACCGATTTTAGAGACTGGGATTCAAGAGGTTAAAGGCACATTAGGCTTCAGAGACAATAAAACTGTTCAACATTTTTTTCATTGCTTAAGAGTTGATGTCATGGTCTAACTCCTTTCCACTGATTTACGAGTTTTTATGACTTTTTGAATCTCACGCCATTGTCAGCTGCTACGCCCCCTAACTTGCCCTGGGAGCATCTTTTGTTCAGTGTAATTAAAACTCTGTACATGGTCAGTAGTTCGGTCAATTTTTTTTCAATCATTTCTTAATTTTTCTGTCTATAATCGATCAACTAGACAATGGCAACTCTGCGGAGTAGCAAATCCCAACGAACAAAATATCAATTACCGAATTCCAATCAATTATACTCATTACTTTGGTTAAAATTGAAAAATTTAGATTTTAGAATTGCGAATTCCTGCAAAGCAGCCATTTTGAATTTTCTGAGGTTCAAATCTGAAGAATAATACCAAAATTGTGATCCACTCCAAAATTCCTTCAATTTGAGTATAATATAACCATACTTTGAAGGGAGACGGCCATTTTGAATTTTACGAGGCTCGAATCAGAAAAAAGATACAATATTTGCAATCTACTCTTAATTGCCTTTCATTTGAGTATAATAAAGCTATACTTCAGAAAGATCTAAAAATTAGCGAAAATTACTGTTTTCCTGACCCCCCATACACGGCCCCTGGGGGTCAGGATGAAAAACACAGAATATATGTGAAATAGATAGATGTTGCGAATATACTACCAAAATTTCAAACAATAATATGAATTACTTTGGTTTAGAATGAAAAATTTATGGTTTTTGCGAAAAAGTCCCGTCATTTTTAAAGCGGCGGCCATCTTGAAAAATTTTTTTTTTGCGTACAACTATTCACCAATATACATCATTCCACTAAATATGAAGAAAATCCGTCAACTCGTATTTGAGTTATCTTCCGGACGGACGGACGGACGGACTGACTGACGGACTGACTGACGGACTGACTGACGGACTGACGGACGGAGGGCTTCACTATATCCCTACCAAACTTCGTTCGTTGGGATAATAAACAAGTTTAGGAACAAAGGAACATTTCAACTTTAGTTAATTACGATGCCTAGATAGACAATTAATGCCTAGACACCCAGTATGGAATTTTTTCTGCATCTTTATTCGATTTTCACACTTTTGTATTTGATTACAACCATTCGATATTCCACTCTATTAAAATAATTCGAAACACGTACTAAATTTGTTTGTTTTTACACATTTATATTTGATTTATGTACCTTTATATGCGGTAAATGCACTTGTATATGCGGTTTTTGTTATTCAGTGTTTGGTAAAATATCGCATATTGAAGTCCATGTACACACACGAACAAAGACGGTTGACAAATATATTTAGAACACGCATCAAATACAAATACACTTTAGAACCAAACAATGTTCATTTACCGAACAATCATAGAGTACAAAATAGCACAGACATATATTGACTTACCCCACATAATTAATGACATGTACTTTCGCATAAAATTATATGGGGTAAGTCACGTGACTTACCCCACATAAATGACACATGCTGCATGTGGCATAAAACCATTCGGTAAATCACGTGACCAGTGACGTAGAAATTATTTCAAAATGGATGAAACAAGCGAGGAAAAAGAATTTGAATACGATTCATATTCACAATTCAGAGAGGAAATTAAGAAGTTATTAGATCATTACAACAGGCATGAGTCTACAAGCGATCCTTTCTTAATAGAAGATCCGTTTTCGCGATTGGAGAATCACACCAGAGCTCTTTGAATATATAGATGGCGCAAGTCACATGGTCGAAGTCACGTGACTTACCCCACATCAAAACAGTGAACATTGGTTTATATAAAAGCATTCGGTAAGTCACGTGACTTACCCCACAAATTAATATGTTTACCACAAATGAATATGTTTACCCAATACGAATGGTACTTGGCATAGCACATATTTAAAATACTTATCAAATTTATATTTGATCGGGTCGAATACAGTTTTGAAGCATTTTACATATTTGTTGTGTAAGACAGTCAATTATATGTGGGATAGTAGGTACCATTTGTTGTAACTGGTTTTGTTAATGTTCGGTTTAACTTACTCCGTGGGGTAAAAACCGAAGATATTAATGTTACGAATATTGATGCAATAAATACACTATAACCCAGGACTGCAGCCAATATGGGATAGGATAGTAAATATCCCACCCGAAAGTGACATTGAATCAGATGATGAATCGAATCTTGGGGAAGCTTTTTCATCCTCAGAGTCAGAGGACGATTCTGACTCAAATTCAATTTTCTCACGTTTTTCAGGAGTATCTTCAACAGAAAGGACTTAAAACTATACATGAAAGTCCATTCAAAGTAGTCTATTGAACCTTGAAAAGCCATATATACAACAACTTTCAGCTCATCTTTACTTAGTAGAATTTTTTTATGAATTTGTCTGATATCTGCTTGAATATTGTATATATACTTGTGTTGATTGTTTAATTATTACATAATAGATTGGAGATAGAATATGTCAAAGTTGTCTGATCATGTCCCAAAAGCAATATTCTGTCTGTCACCAAAAATACTTTGAATTAACAATTTTTTTAAGATGCTTGGTGAAAATACGCCCTATAAAGAAGATGACGGAGAATTCGCTAGGAAATTGTTACAGGACTTCGATGTGAATTTTAGAGGGCCATTTTACTATCTTATAGAGATGTTCCCATGGACACGTTACTTTGGCAACCCTGTTTATTCAACATTGAATGAAATGATAAACTGCCGTAATAAAACCTTTACGGAGTGGATTGAAAGGTTCAAACATTATAAACAGGTACAATACTTATGATATAATATGTACAATGAATAAATATGTAAACTATGTGCATTGATATTTTGGTAAAACTTTATCTTTTACTCCATTAAAACATTGTGCCCTTTAATGGGTTGGATTCTGGGTGACATTTCAACGTGTGTTATAGGAAAGTGGTGAGAGGACACTCATCGCAGAGTTATTGGCCGCTAAGGAGGAGGGTACAATAACAGATGATGGTATTTTTGGAATCATGACTGATACTTTCATTGCAGGTATAAATCCTTTTCATAGTTTAGACTAGTTCTTTAGTGCATTTTTCCACTCTGCAGACCCTGGATTTGGTTTTAACAGGAATCTTCCAATTTACTATCAATTTAAATAGTTCTTGATTATGTTTCATTAGCTAATAACTTTGATCTATTTTGTGTAACCATACTACAACTGAAGCAGCTTGATTCAAGAGAAAATTTCAGACCTGCAGAGATGGAACGAGATATGATCACATTGAATTAAATGGTCAAAGAAAAGGAAATATAAGATCTGCAGAGGATGGATGTGTCAATTTAATATTAATCATATACATATACATTGGGTATTTGGTTTTCATTTTAATAAAAACTGGGAAGAAGAATTTTAAGAATTCAACTTAAGATTCTGAAATATCAATAGTTCTTTTTCACTTTTATGATTTGTGGAAAATAGTATATATCAAATGATAAATTCATATTTCATATTTTTACACTTTATAGCGGACCTTTAAAACAAACAAAGAAATGTGTATTAGCAGAGCTACAATAATCAATCAAAGTTCTAGAAGTGTCAAAGCCCTATAACCAATTTGTTTATTAATTATTTATCAGGAATTTTCACAACACGTACAACCACATCCGGATTCCTACTTGCAATGATGAACTTTCCTGACATTCAAAGTAAGCTCCATGAGGAAATTGATCATGTGATTGGTAAAGAACAGCTTCCGGATCTATCAGATCGTGAGAAGATGCCATATATGGAAGCAACAATTCTTGAAACGCTGCGTTACATGTCGACGATCCCAACAATCTTACATAAAACAACTTGTGATACCAATATAGCTGGTTGTGATCTCCCAAAGAATACACAGGTAAATACATTCATGTCTATTTTGATTATTTTTCATATACAGTACATTGTATTGTTCATTTAATTTTGCTTAATTTGTCATCTGCTTTAATCAGGCATTTATGAAAAATTCACCAAACCCTGCCAAAATCTGATTTAATATAAATCTGATTAAGTCTAATACTTGGTCCAAGTTTTATAAAACTTGTATCAGTAATAATTAAGTATGGGCCAATACCACAAAATAATTTACCAACCAAATTTAAATGCAATCTTCATCTTTTAGTTTGGTAAAACAAGATACACAATAATAAATATCCCACTCTAAAAAGCAAAATGGCTGTAATGTAATTTACAAAGCATGCCAAAACTTATCATGTATAATTTTCTAATTGAACTAATAAGCAGTTTTCCAGGCAGTTGATAATGCAACGACCAAGTAGCAAGCTGTTACTACAGTACAGATGTAAAGTTTGTTAAAACACAACAAAAATAAGGCATTAACATGAAAAAAATTTACAACTTGCCATTTGTGACAGACAACGACTGCAAAAAACAGATGCAAACTGCCAAAAACCATCCACAAAAGGTTGAAGGGGACATCAATACCAAAAAACAGGGATGATTGCGCCAATTTCATTTAATGAATCACAAAACCAAGTTTCTCATATTTTACACAGGGTCATGGTTAGCTGAATAATCATTCATATTCACTTTTCCAACCTGATTATAAAGACAAAATGGATAAACTTCCATATGGGGAATTTAAAATTTCATCATTTTCACCAACAAAGGGGTTCATTTGTATCAAAATATTTTACCCATATGTTAATAGTAACATCTGGTTACTGAAACGTTAGTCACTCATGAGCAAATATATCCAGAAGCTCCAATAATCTAGCAAGAATTCCTCACTTCAGCATTCAGCAACCAGGATGTTATCTGGTGAATTTCATAGTCTTGGTTGCATTGTGTTTATGTGCTAAAGTGCTCAATTACTCAACTAAACTCAATAGAGAAAAGGGTCTAAATAACTGTTGCCTATAAGCAACTTCAATCAAATACATTGTCTTACAGGTTTGGATGAACTTATATGGCATGCACCATGATAAGCGTAACTTCAAACACAACCCAGATTCTTTTGATCCTTCACGATTCCTGGACTCTGACGGCCATCTAGTTCCACATGAGGAAAGAAAAGCGTAAGTCAAATTATAATCTAAATTATGTAGATATCTAGATATGGGCCATGATAAGCATTGCTTCAAACACGACCTAGATTCCTTTGATCCTACAAGATTCCTGGACTCTAATGGCAATCTAGTTCCACATGAAGAAAGAAAAGCGTCAGTTGGATTCTGACCTAAACAATAGAGATTGACCACTGTATAAATTTCAATTCAATCTGACTATTTTTTTTCAATGACAAATGTGAGAAGTGTTTTGTGTCCCATAATTCAAAATCCGAGCAATCATAATAACAATGTCTTTATGTTCACTAATATTTTGGCATGATTATAAACATTGCCATGTGTGGAAACTTTTAACACATATTTTTGGGACATTGATATGAAAAATGTTGGCATTAGTGATCACAAATTGTTTTTTCATGCAGAAATACTGTTTTGCCATGTGTGACAAAATGAAATGAATTTATTACAGGGTACTGGCATTTGGAGCAGGTAGACGTGTCTGTATGGGAGAAGTTCTTGCAAAAACCAGGGTGTTTCTCCTCTTTACACAGCTGTTACAAAACTTTTACTTCGAGCAAGCCGACCCTGAAAATCCTGTCCTGTTTGATATGAGGAAATTTATAGCTGGGCCAGATACTTTAATCGCACCTAAATTTAAGATAGTAGCAAAACCTCGTTAGAAGGGGATCATACCATGATCTATGTACTATAGTAGCAAAGCCTTATAAAATAAGGGTATAACCCGCCCTCGTCATACCATTTAAGTGATCATACACATAAAGTATCATAGCCTCTTGATACTTATGGTATCAAAGGTCTGGTTAGTACCTGTGTAAAAGGCTTGTATTAGACCAATAATATAACATTACACTGTATTTCATAAGACTTTGAATGTACCATGTAAGTATCAAAAACCACAGCAAATCTTTATTGAAAATGTTAGTGATGCTACGAGTGAGGTGCCAAACTTTTTGTTAGCAAAAAGACAAAATTATTGTGAAAGTTGAATTTTGGTATCTGGACTCAAGTAAAAGAATGACAGAATCACCAAGTGACACGATGCAGATAATTTTGATACCTATATCATGTATATGGTTTAAAACCATTGGTTTGGAACCTCATCATTTTTTTACAAAGTGTAAGCAAGTAACTTTTTTCTCAGATTTACAACTAATTATAATATAAATTTGAAGTACATTAATTGACTGAACAGCTGAATATCAAGAGACAGTGTAGTGGAATAGTATATATAGGGGTTATGCACTGGGAGGTTTTGGATACAGGGAATATCCCGAGGGATATACAATATATCTTCCTGAGGGACCGAGGGAAGATGTATTGTATATCCCAAGGGATATTCCATGTATCCAAACCGACCGTGCATAACTGGTGTATCTCATACTTGAGTGGGTTTAGGGTAGATATAACCTTTTCCACCTTTTTCAGATGACAAGGTATTTATATTGAACATTTTCGTAATATTCTTTTTGTTCAATACAATGAAATTGTAACATTTAAACTTAAAAAATTTTAATTAAAACTTTTGATATTTAAACTTTTTTGAATTTTTGAAAAATTCCTGGGAGCGGGATGGATATATTATATCTGCCCGCATTTGGCCTGGAGCGAGACATATACAATATATCCTGCCCGCTCCTCAGATACGATATATATTCCCGGGTGATATCTACCCCAAACCCACTCAAGTATGAGATACACTTTTATATAGTATCAAACAATGTACAACTATATCCAGCTTCAAATATAACCGATACACATTTTACACAAAATGTTATATGTATAAGTCTAATGGACAGAATTTACAGAATTTCACTGGACCTTTAAGATTTATTTTGATTTTTCATCTGAGGAAGTCCCACAATGCATCATTACACTACACAAAAAAATTCCCAGGAGCGGGATGGATATATTATATCGGCCCGCATTTGGACTGGAGCAGGACATATATTTTATATTCTGCCCGCTCCTCAGGTATGATATATATTCCCGGGTGATATCTACCCCATCCTCCTAAGCAGGTGTTTAGAATCCGTACCTCCTTTTTCCCCCCTGCTATAACCAATTTGGAAGCGCCCGATTTAACTGAATCACATGATCTAATTATGCGCAATGACTTATACATGATTTCTGTCGCAGCGTTGTGACAGCCAATCAGATTGCAAGTTCTTAATCAGGGAAATGGTAACTGCTTACCGCAGGGGGTAAAATGAAAGAATATATTCTGGATTTCGAAGCCCTGTGATCGGAGGATGTATCTACCCCAAACCAACAAAAGTATGAGATACATAGCTCTATATTCCAAACTATAGTATTCTTTTCTTGAGATAATTGGTCATCAGTGGTTATGTGATAAATGTTAAATAAATTCAACACAAAGAAAGTCCAAAGTGTAAAATATATATCAACTTCAAGTTTAGAGTAAATTGCACAAGGTTTTAGGTTAGAGAGTTAAACTGCTTGCTATTTAAAGCACATAAAATCAGTTCTACGCATATAAACCTGTTTAGTTCAAGCCAAGCAACATATATGACCATATAATTCACACTTGTGTCCTCATATACCTAGATTAAACTATAAAACAACAGCAAATCCACAGAGAAGCACATCCCACAAAACAAAACATTTTTTTTTTATTTATTATTAGTGGCCATCTTGAAAATTCCTTCTTAAGCAGATCTTGTTTGTCCCTAGTCATCAACATATAAATTGACATATTCGTAAATTAGCATTTGAGTTATCAAAGATTACCTTCCTTTTTTTACGAAAAATAGCAGCAATTTCGAAATGCAGCCGCAATTTTTAAAATCTTTATCAAACAGAGCTACTGTGTCCCTAGGTGTCAGCATATAAAATTTGAACAAAATCCATTCACTGCTATTTTCCATTCACTGGTATTTGAGTTGTCAAAGTTTACGTTTTTTTACAAATAATAGCTACCATTTTAATATTTAGCAACC